TTGAAAATATGCTTATTCTTTAAAAAATTCTGTTATATCATCACTTTATTTTGTGATTATTTAAAATGGCCTTAAAATGAAATTTACCTTTATAATGTGAACCCTTGGTTTAAACCTCGATGAAAGTTGATTTAAAACTTCAGCCACCAGTTGTTGATGCTTAAGGACTTTTCTCATTTTCATAATTCGGACAATAGCGGCTTGGATTAATAACTTTCTGTCCTCTTCTATGTGTTTGTGGGTAGTCTCTTGTTCCATCTTAAGTTCTGTCTTCATCGGTACGTTTATATTAACTCGTAGCTTTTTACTATAAACAATCCATAAACCAATTAGAAATGTGTGTAAAACCAAATTTTAATACGCAACATTAAAATTTCCGACATTTTAAAAGTACCTACTTTTTAAATCCTAAATGTAGACTTATGACAGAATTTGGACTAAGATCATTTTCGTCGTCTTCGCACGTAAGCAGTTTAGCTTTAAGTAGAATTTGAAGGACCTGTATTAGAAAATCTGTTTTGATTTGAGTATTTTCCTCAAGTTGAGCTATTGTCCATGTGTCAGATACGTTGAATTGTAAGAGAACGGCCATTTGGAAGGTACTGGCCTGCAGTGTGTATCTGAAATATATCACAAATTTTAATATGAACAAACTCCATACAGGAGTTCCGCAGGGATCCAACTTGGGACCTCTGTTACCTTCAATTTTCATTAATGATTTAACCAATTCTATTAAAGGCCCGAACTTTTTTCGCTGATGATCTTAAATTTTACAGTAAAATATATAGTATTCATGACTGTTATCATTTACAATCAATTATCGATCTCATATTAAAGTGGTGTAAAAATATGACATTTATATCAATGTTTCAAAATATAATATAGTATCATACACTAGGAAAAAAATAAGTATTACAGGGTGTTCCTTAATGACATGGGAATATTTAAGTGTGTGATTCTACAGGGAAAATTATATTTTGCTCTACAGGGTGTACTCAAAGTTGAGTCATTTATTTTAACAGCAAAAATCGTTTTTATAAAAGTGATCAAATAAAGTAATTATTAACAATTATTTAAAAAAATTGAAATCTAAAAACTATAATACAAACCCGATTTATTGTCATGTTCGACCACTCCGTTGTAAAAACATAAATTGTTTGTTTAATACTGGTACTGCGTATGTCTATTTTTTGTAATTGCACGGTTTTGAGTACGTTTTTCGATTTGGCAGTGCTAAATAATTCGTACAATAAAAATGAACATGTTTATGAACACAATGAACTAGTGGACATAATATTAACTTACAGGGTGTGTCAACAAAATGTATATACAAATAATTGCTTTATTTGATCACTTTTATAAACGATTTTTGGTAAATTGACTTCTTTTTATGAGTTCTATCAGCTGTTAAAATAAATGACTCATCTTTGAGAACACTCTGTATACAC